GGGAAAAAGGGGGGGGGGGTGTGGGGGGGTGCAAAGACATTGAGAGAAAGAAAGAAAGAATGGAAGAGAAAGAAAGAGGGAGTCATTAACATGGCCTTTGGGCACTCTGCCATCTCTCTCATTCTTTCACCCACTCTTTATCACTTTCTACACCAACTGCCTACAAACAAAACACTAATCTTTCAAACAAACAGTGCAGAAACGAGGATTCAAAACAAAGGTTAAAACAGCATAAACACATTTAAGTACAACATCACTTTCTCCAGGTGTCGCACATACAAGCTCAGTGCAAGTTTGATTCCACACAGTCATCTCTGGATAAGAAGTGGCATTAGAGCCCATTTCCCTGCCTGCAGTGATGCAGTGTGAGAACCTAGCATGTGTTACAAAACTGTTTCACAGCTGGCTATAAATCACTAGGATGCTAAAGTGTGCTGTCTGTAAAAGCTGCAGATGGACAGCAGCCACACACTCATGGCACTGCTATGTATGGAAACAAACTCACAAACAAACACACTGAGCACCTCATTTCAGACATCCTTCCATGCATTACTGGATGATCTAAATAATGGCTTCAGCCTGGGTTTTAAGAACAGTCGTCTCTGCTCTGTCTGGATGTAATGCACCACTGCTGTATCTGTTGACAGCAGGCAAGTGTTGGTGTTAGTACAATATCGCTGGCCCACAGTTACAGAGGCATACAAAAGAAGAGGCTCATGCTTGTACCAGGCCCTAGCTCTGTTTAGTAGAGCTGTAATCTACAGCCAAACATACAAGGCCAGTCCCTTAGATGCAAACTCCTTATCCCACTGCAGCCCAGTCAAGGCCTGAGGGAGTTGCAGATGGACACCCTATGTTACTCTTTCCATTGTTCTTGATAGCACTGCAACAGCAAATCCCTTTACAAACAACAGCATACTGCAGGCAGATTCCATTTCCTATAGCCCCAGCTGATTTGCAGCTATGGTGGCTGCCATCTTTGCATGCATACCATGTGATTTATCTACTTAAACCCACTCTAATATTCTCCATTCTGTAATGATGGTAAACCCAAGAGAAACTGTCACAGTGCACTCCTATTAAAGAAGTGTGAATGCAAACTCTTTTGGGAGAAAGGTGAGCTTATCAACTATGCATAGACTTTGACACCGTTTCAGGGAATAAATATTGACCATGGGTCTATTCCAGTGAACAAGCCTGCTGATTCAACTGTTTAGGCAGCTATTCCTGATCCTCACCCAACCTGCTAATCTACATTCCTCTTCCAGGAAAACAAAAATGCTATTACCCTCCCACCTCCATGTAGATATCACGACCCTCTCAGGTGAACAGAGGCTCTGCTCAAACTGTTGTCACACCAGTCGAGTTCTCTGATTAACCACATTGTACATAAAAATGGATGACGAGTCATCACCACCCACTGTCACTATGCAAAAGTGGAGCCAAAATATTGTGAATATGGCAGCTGCTATTTTGTTTTGATAATACATAAAGTGCAAAAATGCTAACTCAGTTCCAGGTTTTAGGACTCACTACTATAGCACTATATGCAACCAGATTCTGTGCATTAGCAAACAGAGGCAGAGCCACAGTATCAAACCGCCAATCAAAGCTGTAAAATCATCTGAAATATATCCCTTTTTATGTATATCAACATATAACTTAATCAAATCTGTACTATACTAAGGCCATCACCCATTTCATCTGAAACAGATTGTATAGGTAGGAATGTATTAGTCTGGGACTGATGGCAGTCGAGAATTAGGACAAGTCCATGTCAAAGAAAAAGAAGTAACAAACAGGAATGTGGGAGCAAGAAACATCCCAGCTGTATGTTAGAGAGGCCATCCAGCATTTAGCCTGATCCAGCTCTGGGAAAACCTGGCTCGAGTAGCGAGGCAGAATCTGGCAGTCAGCTGGAAAATGAGGACACTGCAGAGACGGAGCCCTAGAAATAAAACACCCATATAAAAACAGCACCGTCTCCCTGCATCAGCGCAGCTCAAGGGCACGTGTCTATATGTGTATGTGAGTATTAACTATCTGTCTTGTACTGTATGTAGGTTGTGTATCTCTGTGACTCATGCGTGTCAGCAGGGATCCAAGACTCCAGTCAAGAGCAAAAGTACTCAATCTACCAGCTCCCTCTCAGTAGGAACCAAATTCAACGTAGCCTGGACAAAACCCTGTAGCTACATGGGAGGCCAACATGAGACACCATGTATGGACACAGAGGACCAGTTGGAGAGAGTCTGACCAGGAACTTGGCTCTCACATACAAACAGCAGACTGATGATAGGAGACAAAACAAATGCTTGGCCATAGGCATTAAAATGCTGCAGGTCTGTTGTGTCAATCACTTCCTATGTCAGCAAAACAGCACAGGCCTGAAGAAAGAGCACCCACATTTGGCTGGTGCTAATAGAGGAACTAACTCATTGAAGCACCCTGGTTAATTATTATCTAACCTGACGGCATTCATTTTTAGCCAAGCTGAGGGCTTTGTTGCTGGCAAGCAGGCAGACAGTGATCTGAAAAGGCCTACCATGCTTGAGTAGAGTATGCAATTAACACACTTTCCAAACCACTGTAAACTGTG